GCTCTTGGGAAGCAATGCAGCTCCCGACTGGCTTGTTGGTTGTAAAAGCATCTGCTCGTGTCGGGGACTAGGCCCTGGGACGGGGAGCTTGGGGACCTTCGGTTCGGTAAGAGGCCCGCCAGTTTCGCTTGTCGTCTCCCTGCCGTCGAACGGACACACACGTGACATGTAGTTAACGAACCGGCTTCTTTAGTTGGACAACGGATAGGCTAGGCTGGTGCTGTTGAAGCAGAAAGAAAGCACAGAGCATCTCGGTAGCAGCATGATCCAGCCCGCACGGCTTGTCGGAACCTGGCGTGCCCCAGTGTTTGCTTCTGCGTCGTGGTGGTGGTGGTGATGGGTAAAGGGTGATGGTTGTGGTAAGGACTGAGAAGAATCTGTTCCCTCTCATTTGGGTCAATCGAAACCTGATACTGACCCTCCAGCTGCAGCCGGCCAAAAGCTACCGGAGGGGGTCTGCCTCGCAGGTTTGAGCATCGCATCTCATTCTCAGCAGCAGACGGGCTTGGTTTGCTGGGATGGTGTCGTCTCCACCCACACCCCCTCCTGGTCGGGGCCGCATCTAGGCATATGGGAGACGGGGTTGGCTGGAAGACTATGATTGTCGCAGATGGCAATCTTGTAGCTTCCTGGACGGGCGATTGGAGAAGAGATCTTGAGCTGCATGACTGAGACAGCGTGTCAGAGAAACGAGGAGTTGGGGATCGAATGACGGGAAAAGAAAGCAAGAACGGACTTTAGGGTGGAGAGGACAGTCTAAGGGGCACGGGAAAGCGTGAACGGATACATGATGTGCATATCATGGCGTATCCGAAGGTGACATGCTGGGAAATCGACAGAAACGTTGGATCCGTTGTGCCTACGTCCAGGCTAATGCTAGGGGAGTCGGTTGAGATAAACAAAAAGCACGGTCCAGAAAATGACTTGGTGGAGGATGAAATTGAGGTGCTGCGTTTATTCGAAATGTATGGGAGTGAAAGGCCGCTCAAACTTCAGCTCCAGGCCCCTGAAAATGGCATTCAATCGAATTAGAAAGGACGGCGAAGGAACGAAGCTGAAAAGAAAAGGCCCAGAGATGGGCTGCGCAAATAGGAATCGAGACCACATGTACCGAAGAGTCAAGCCCCGTGGTGTCTGACTGTTTGTTTAACGGAGGTATAAAGGACACGAGGCAAGGAAAAGCAAGGCAAGTTAAGGTAGGAAGGTGTCTCGTGCCGACCCTTCCCAATACCATCGTACCCTGAGGTGTCAAGTTGGAAGGAACACATCTCCATTCACCTTAGCTCACCTACTGGTATCTTGTGTACCTCAGTACTTGATTGAGGTATCCAGGGCACTACCTGCCTTGACTCTGCCTTGACTGGTACGGGACATGCAAATACCTTTTCTTTCCTTACATCCAATGCTAGCTGCCAAAGGTACGACACTACGTACTTGGTAGGCAAAATATGCGAAGCTTACAAATCAGAGAGAACCAGTATAACGGGATACATTGCTTGGTGAGGGTCTCTTGGTACAATGTTTCCGACGCGGGCTGATGTCTTGGCAACTGTAAGTCGACAGTTGACTCTAAGAGCTTCAAAGCTATGGAGAAGCAGACGCGCAGCTAGGCCAGCTAGGCAATCGACAAGCAGGTACGCCAGGACCACCCACTTGATGCCATGACGCCGGCTCCGACCAGCGGCTGAGTGGAAGATGTGTTGCTAAAACACAGTCGAGTCGACGGTCCAACATCCGGCGGTCTTAGGGTTCCTTACGGGCGGGCGCTCCAGAGACCGGGCCGTGTCTTTTGTACGCCCAAGATAGTGTACCTCTAGCTCGCTCATCATGGCTCAAACCGTCAATCGAACTTCTTGTCCAAAGCAACTGCAACCTCATGTAGCAGTTGACCTGCGGTCATGCGGCTGTCAATGCAGAGAGTGCTGCCCAGGCCCCAGAGATATGAAGTTGAATATGAGAAGCCGTGTGGTACTCTCTATTTGTATGCATACCTTAGGTACTCGATGGGACACCTAGCAGGGCAGGAAACGGCAGCCAAGGACAGATAGGCGCGGACTAGGCTGGACGCAGGGTACTTGATCCGACGTCACTCGCTGCCCTATCTCACTACCATGTCTCCGACCGGCGTCGAAGTTTGTACGACACTGTTGCGGACCCTCATTCTCATCAGTGGTAATAAGAGACATGGTCTACCTGATGTCATGTAGCTCTTTGATGCTCAAGGTATTGTGCGGCTGAAGCTCTTTGTGCTCCTCTAGACTGGTGGCCATAAGCAAGTGACTGTGACTAAGAGTATCAAGAGCTTCGCCAATCGAACGTCTGGACTGTTACCTGGAGGATGGGGAAATGGCGATTTCCTCCCTGCCTGCAAATGTACTTCATCATAATGTTTGACGCGTTGTGAATTTGAATTGCATGATAGCAAAGACCTGGCAAAAGAAGAAGCAAACTTGGCCAATTTTGGAAAGAGTCTCGTCAGGGGTTCAGACATCAGGACTTTGCATTTCATCTCATCTTGACGGGGCTTCAACGCCTCTTCGATTCAGATTCATGGCGCACGTAGGTAGCTACATAGATACCTACCTACCTTACTACGTCGACAGACGAGCCAAAATCTGACGCTGAGCGGTACGGGATCCCGGCGGACGCTATCCATCTCAACGTGCGTTGACTGCCCACAGCAAAGAATACAACACAGGTGTAGGTATCCGTCCATACTGACAGGCACGGGATGATACATGCAGGAGAAGAAGCCTTTGAGACTTTGAGTAACTGGCTGGCAGCTCATCCATCGGCCTTAACCTTGTTCCTTTGACCCTGTTCCGGAGAATGCCACTAGGGACCCCAGCATCTACACCCACATCCAATTCCCTATGGGAGGGGGTGCGCCTTGAGATCCCAGCGAGGAGAAATCGGCCGTCGACCACCCCCTCCAGCCATATCCACCCACCCATTGGATTGAATGTGACCTTTTCCTGCTTTCCCACCTGTCCATTCCCATTTTCAGCTGGCGGGGACCGGACACCCCCTTCCCCCTTCTCTCCTGAGCTTCCACGGTATCTTCCATTCCACATCTTCTGTCCTGCCGTGCCACCTGCCGTGTTGTGAGTAGCAGCGTGTGTATGTGTGTGTGAGCGAGATAAGAGAGAAAGAGAGACAAAGATAGCGCGTGTGTGTGCCTATGTACGAATATGTCCCGTGTTTTTTTTTTCTTTTCCTTGGTGAGTGAGATATCTGGAGTGGGATAGGTAGGTAGGTATCTCATGCCTGAGGTGAGGTACCTAAGGTACTGTACGTACCGGAAAGAGTGATTGCTCGAGGTGGGAAAGAAGAACTCAGTGACCGAGCAGGAGCTCTCCCGTCCTCTTTTTGGTACTACGTATGTACTTCGTACCCCTAAATTCGCTGCTGCTGCTGCTGCTGCTGCAAGGTAAAGCGACCTGGGCCCGCCCCATGCAAGGTCGTCCATCTCACACGCCCGCGGATGCCCTCCCACCCCCTCCTTCAGCCCAATCAGCAAGCTTCCATCAACAACGACACTTTCCCCGACCTGAACATTCTGAACATCCTCACTTGGTGCTCCTGGTGGGACGGGCGCCACACCTCCCTCCTTCTCTCTCCCACTTTCGGCCATTTGACATTGGATACCTAAGATCCCTTTTTTTGATTTCTATTACTTTCGCCTTCTCCTTTTCTCCCCCCCTCTCATTACATACAGATACTGTTAACGTGCTTGGGCTCAGCAATCAAGCTACACAAGAACCACTCGACGCTCGCACTTCTTCTCCCACACATGCTTCTTCGGCTATCTACTGTCCTTGCTCCCTTTCTTGCTCCTTCAACCTTGACCCGAACACGACAAAAGGTACCTCCAAACTTTGGGTTTACCAACTGACTGACACCTCGACGCCGCAGTTAGACCGGGGCCACTCACAAGCTGACTGCTGGATCACAGTCTAAAGTACACGCTACCTTACACCATCCCGCAATTCTTGTGGCACTTGCTCTCCTTAATCAGGCCTTCTTTCTTCCTGTGTTCTCGCAGATCCAACCGACTATCGATCTAGTCGAGCCACTTTAAACCTTCGCCAGCAGCAGCACAAGCACCACCATCAGCACCACCACCCACCCCCAGTCCCCCGTCCTTGTCCCTCATTCGTCGTCATATTTCCGGCGGCCCTGGCCTTCGGCAACCCTTCTCCTTCTCTTCGAACTCTAGAACTTCGACACTTCCACTTCCATTCTCTCGCATCCCGCATCCCTATTTCGCTGAGAGTACCGCCACCCATCTGGACGAGGAGAACACCCCGAACCTTTTTCTTCAACTCTGCCAATCTGGACACATTCCAGCAGATCCATCCGTCTACCTAGCAGTCCCCCGACGTTGGAAGCCTACCGGCAGCTGGAACAAACACCTGCTGCTGTTTAACTTGCCTAGCAGATTCGAACCGCGGCTGGACACTCCAATCCCCAAACCGCTCACCCACTCGCGCTCGCCTGCTTCAACCATCGTAGCTGTCGTTTCCCGCCAATTCAATCCAAAGGAAGCCTTCTCGCCAAGCTGTCGACGGGCCTGGAAGACACCACTCGACACCAGGATCAATCCTAAATAATCACTTCCGACCCCGACCCTCCCGCGATAGACTGATCCTATTGTCTTTCTCTGCGCGCATCGCTGCAGAACCCGCCCGCATCGCCTTTACCGTTCTGCGAAGCCATGAGGTGAGACAAGCCCCTCAACCATCTCTTCAAACCCACCGCGACCGCCCTTGATGCCGCTCCAACTCTTTCTCCTGTCTTCCCTGCCATTCTCAAAGCCCGCATTCTCTTCGCAATTTACTGCGCCCTTGTCTCTAGAGCTAACCGGATCCTTGCGTCTTACAGAGGGGATGGCCACAGTGACTGAGAGTCCGCAGAGAGCTCCTCTGCCTGCTAACGGTCATGCCGATCTGATTCCGAATCGCATTGTACCTATCCCAACCCCGACCCCGACCATCCAAATGTCTGCTCCATCTCCCGGTGAGCCTATGGAGATCACCTCCTCCCACAACGCCAGCACTACCTCTCCTTCGAGCAAGCACAACGACACGGACGCCAACGGCGCATCCAAGAACACGTCGCCTACAGACCAATCTGCGAATAACTCGATCGCCATGCCCGCCGCGCCCGCAGCAGCGGCCGCGGCTGTGCACCAGCCAAAGATTGTGCAGACAGCTTTCATACATAAGCTGTACAGGTGAGCAGGAACCTAGAACGTTGTTTAGTAGAGATGCAGCTAACACCGTTCAGCATGCTGGAGGACCCAAGCATACAGCATCTGATATCATGGTCGGCGAGTGCTGAAAGCTTCGTTATGTCACCGTCTGCGGACTTTTCCAAGGTTCTCGCGTAGGTTGACACGCTTTCGAATATATCCTTCACCTACTGACTACCGACTAGACAATATTTCAAACACACCAACATATCCTCGTTTGTCAGGCAATTGAACATGTACGGGTTCCATAAAGGTTGGCTAACATCTCCTTTGACCACAAAATGTCCCACGCTAATTGAGGCAATAGTGAGCGACGTTTTCCACACTACAAATCCCGAGACCGCCTTGTGGGAATTCAAACATGGAAATGGCAACTTCAAGCGAGGCGATCTTGTTGGGCTACGCGAAATCAAACGACGGGCTTCACGCCATGCTCTTGTTCACCGAGAATATCCCAACTCAAAACCGAGCCCTTCCCAGCCCGGAACACCTGCGGAACCGATGCCTCCCCCAAGCGATGGCTCTGAAATGCGAATGCCAGGACTCGAGCATACGCTGTACGACCTCAGCATGCGGCTGCAGAGAAGTGAAGAGAATGCCCATTACATGCATATCAAGCAGCAAGCGGTGATGGAAACCATGTCACGACTGCTCCACTTCAACCAAGAGTTGTCGAGGACGGTGCTCAGCCTCGTTCCTAGTCCCGAGAACCCAGTGCACCGGGATGGTGAGTTACATCTCTTGCGGTCCACGTAGCTGGTAACTAATACTACACGAACCAGTTCTGAATCTGCAATCGGAAATAGCAAGACAAGCCGACATGCTCCGAACTATTGATGATCCCCAGGAGTCGCCATTCTCGAGCAGCCGATCATACTTCACCAACGTGGAGAATGCACCGGTTTCGCCGCGGCAGTTACCCCAAGATGACCCGAGACGAAACGCGAATCTTGCTGTTCCCCAGCCCAGAGGGCAGAATTTCTACCGGCCTCCTGTGCCTTCGAATCTTTCGATCAGCACGCGAAGGCCCTATGGCTCCATTGGTGGTGGATCGGTTGGCGGTGGTTCAGTGCCACAGGCCTCATCTCCCTTGCGGGGGGCGCCGCCTCCACCTCCTCCGGGGCCGCATCCCTTGGCCCAGGTTGAGCCGCCTCCTGGAAGTCTAGCAAGACGTCACACATCGGCAGATATACGGGCACACGGCTGGCAGCCCAGTGCTCCGCCGCCGTTTGCTTCAGGGCCTCCATCAGGACCGCCTTCTGGACCTTGGCCATCTTCGCCCAGTCGACTCGCGCCGGAGGACCAGCGCCTCAGGGAGTCGTTATCCACATACTCGCTGCAAAACGCGACCCAAGTACGGCCTCTATCGCGACCGACCACACCTCCTGGCGCGCCCTTCTCGAATGGTGGTGGTGGGGATACCTTTGGCAACTGGTCATGGAACTCGGCCAACCGGGACAACAAGAATTTGGCCATTAGGGACCATTCAGGGCCACCCACGCGTCGCGGAAGTATGGCGCATATCCTCAACCCGACTGACACGGCTGAACGGGACGACGAGGACGAGGATCCCCGAGGCGACGATGATCGGAAGCGCAAGCGTATGCAGTGAGCAAAGCAATTGCCTTCCTCTGGGTCATCCGTTCAATCTTTATGCATGGCACACTCCTCGGACGCGTGCCCGTACATTCCTATATCAGATAGACACATCTATCCGACGATTTCCTGGAAATACTCCTTCCATTGTATAGAAGAAAGGTCGACTACACTCGGGTCAGTACACGATTTGCACAGATGCATATCTACAACCAACATTTGAGGATCGAGACCCGAAACACACACGAAGCCAACGGCCACTACATAATACGATTCACCCACGGTCGACCTCGACTTACAACCGGATTTCTCAACCTTTCACATCATCGAAAAGTTCAACATTGATATCAACCATGTGTTACTTACTGCGTCACGGCCGACTTGCGTGAAGCAACTACGTACTATAAACCAGCACCCCTAGTAATTCAGCGTCACAATGGCGTCTCATCAAACAGAACAAGTGCGGATCCTACATCTCATTTCACATTATTCACTCTCGGATGGAGGCTGTGTATTTGCGGTCGGAGCTCAGGAGACGGGATACCCAAGGGACGTTAGGCGGCAAGGTTTGTTAAGATTTGTCCAAAACTGTCCACATCGGGTGTAATTGGCGACAGCTGCATTTGGGATGCGAGAGGAATGGGGAATCATTCATTATAAAAAAAACGTGTTCACATCTGACTATTGAGGTATTTGGTCAGGAGCAGCAGCTATGTGTGGCTTGTAAATGACCTGATGGCACATGCTCAACGAGCCTTGGCTAGATCTAATGCGAAGATGCAGTGACCAATACTGTGACAACCAGCCAATCTGCGGCAGTTGTGTGATTCGACAGTTTCCGAGACTTGTTGCTGATGCCTACCGCACATGCAGTCCCTGGAGGGTCTCAAGGGATGAAGGCGGCGTTCTTGGCGAGATGATGTCCCGGCATCTCGGGCTAAGGGAGTCGCAATGTGTCGCCGATCCGCAGTCTGCTCTTGTCATGTGCGGAACTATGATTTCCCTTATGCCACTGGTATCTTTTGAGCGGTTCCGACGCCGCCTTCTCCCGCCGCCGCCGCCATCTTGTTTTTCTTGTTTTCCTTATTCCGCTTCTTCTTGTTCCTTTTCCGTTCCCTGGTGGCTTCGTCTGTCTCGGGTCGCTTATCGGTCTCCTCCTCGGCGGGGTCTACCGCCGCTATCACCTGGATTGGACTGGGGATCTGAGCAACCTCCTTGCTGTCTTGGTTGTCGTCGTGGATTTGATCTTCCGTGTCATCCGATCCGCCCTCGCGCATCTCGATATCGCCACGTGCCGCCGGGTGTACGAGCGCCTCGGGTTCAGCAGACTCCTCCTCCTCCTCCTGACGGACTTTGGTCTTCTTCTTCTTGCTCTTTCCCCAGCTGCCTCTCCCTTCCTCTTCATCGCTTTCGTCCTCTTGTAGTCTGCGCTTCTTGAGCGCCGCGGCGGCGAGGGTTTTCGGGTCGTCTGCTGCGCGACCTCCTCCGCGTTTGCTGCCGAGGAGGCGGCGGCTTAGGTCCCGTGTTGCGGCGGAGGTGGTCTCGTCCGCTTTGGAGGTCGCGAAGCCGAGGCCCGTGTTTGGGTTTTCGAAGCGGAGGTCTGCGTCGTCAGCTGGGGCTCGGGGGCGGCTGATTGTCGATTGTGGTGTTGTTGAGGTGGTTGTTGTGGTCGAGGAGGTAGGTTTCGACATTGATGAAAAGGCACCTGGCGCAGCGGCATTGCTGGAGGTGGCTTCTGACGTGGATTTCGAAGAGGATCGTGCTAAGGAGGGGTATTTTGCGCGCATCGAGGTGAGGAAGGTTGCTTGTTTTGCGGAAGCGAGGGAGATACGGTTGTAGAGGGCGTTGAAGTCTGCCGAGGCGGGGAGTTTGGGCGCTGCCGCGGAGGCGGACGGCGATGTTGGCGCCATTGTGTGTGTATGTGTGGGTGTTTGTTTGCAGATGGTGTTGATTTCTCGACGGTGTGGCGATTATGTGTCTCTGAGTGCTTCAAAGACTCGAGGTTCTGGTCACACGAGTGCGTTGGCGATCTCGAGGTTGCGACAGGTTGAGGCTGTTGACGATCGGCGTCTAGAAGATGCACAGAAGCGACGGGAAGGACGACTAAAAAATTTGGGGACTGGGGGAGTTTGTTGGCTCGTGCTCAACGTCTTATCGTCGTCTATCTTAGCGTGGATTTTCGGGTGCGCGGGCCTAGAAAATCGAACGAACAGGGGGAGGGGAGGTGTTCTTTGCTGCGGGCAGCGATGGGTGCAACCTTCTCCACAAATCGAACGTTGAAGGATCTTTTGCAGCGTGACGAGCAGGAGCGGGCAATTTTCGTGATGTCGGCCCCGCTCCGGGTCCGGGCCGAGAAAGGGGACGGTCCGGAACGGAGGATGGTAGTGCATTTGATGCAGGTCCCAATCCACTCTATTGACAGCGGCCATATCCTTCTTCCAGCATCATTTTGAATCCCTGAGTATTGTTTGATTGGTGAAGAGGATTTTAGGATCTAGGGATGAAGTATATTTTGGTGGCGTATTGATGGAGCCGAGTTCGGCTAGTGAATAAAACCTGTATATCCAGAGTGCTGGGGCAACCTCGGGATATGGCTGACCTGCATAGAACCAAGGAGGGATAATCGAAGACGGAAGGGCGAGGTGGCTTTTATCCTAGGCCCGATAAGAAGGGTGGTTCTCAGGATCCTAAATCGCACGCCCTTTCGAGCTGTCGCGAGGGACTCTGGAATATCATGAGGAATCGCTTGCGATAGAAAGTCCCTTGAATGGTATCTTTAGAGCAGCCCCTCAGTCAATGCGGAATCTCTGAAGTTTAAAGGGTACTTGGCTCTTTCCTCCTTCAATCCTGTCACTTCAGTGATTCGGGTGAAATGGTTGAGGGGTTCTTGGGGGAAGACCCGAGTGTGGATCTCAGTCTCCTTGATCACTGATCTGACAAGTGAGTTTTTGGCTCAATTCCTTATAGGGGAATTTCATTTTGTATTTCGTTTTTTCTTTTCTTTGACTTACGGTCTTTCTGGCTCCCATTTCAAGCGGAGTTTGTCTGTATCATGGGTTCTAATGATATATCCGCGCGGCGAACGCAAGAACGGCTACGAAAAAATAAGGTGCCCACGACGGGAATTGAACCGCTGAGGAATTTCAACATCCAAATACTCGAGATGCTGAGATTCACGCAGGGAACATGACAATACTTGGTAAAACAGCCAAAATAAAATTCATGCGAATGACAAAATGGCAAGATATGTTGCTGAAGTGCGACGCCCCGGGCGAACAACAGACTTTGAATGGCAAGGTCGTATGCGTCAGTGATGAGAAGGCACACTCAAACCTTTCGGCCAAGTGCACCCTCTCACTACCCCGACAGATGCTCCAACTTGAATGGCTATGTAGGGTGTGGACTGTGGATGGCGGCCATGGGATGAAAGGCCGGGGGCGGACGGAATACGCAGGCACCGATGGCACAGAATACCGTCCAGCCGCCTTCGCGGAAGTGAACTTCACCTAGGAGGCACTACTGCGGCTACTCATATCGATTATCTACAAATCAAATGAACTTGTGCGGGCTAGATTATCTCAGCAATGCAACATTAGTTAATGGCGATGAAATTGAAGGTTTGAATGATTCGAGGGACACGTGAGATGGAGCTGGAGCAAGACTTTGCGCAAATTATTCCGCAAACATGATGATCGTGGCCTCTCAATTCTGGCGTCTTAATGTTGCTGAGGTCCCCGATCAATGTAGTTCGAATCGCTCGACGTTTACGGAAGCGCCATCCAGCTTCATTCTAACCTCGCCATTCATCATTCCGCCTACCCAACACGTGCCAACCAAGCTCCAGGTCGCTTCACCTTCAGTCTTTCTCAAGATGACAGGCACAGAAGACCCTTTCAGTATGCACACGACATCCCCAGCTTCAGCCATGTTTTGTCGAGAAACGCCAATGTAGCTGTTCCCATCTCCGCCGATCTGCAACATCCCGCGGTCACGCCAGTCCCAGGCGGCCACACCCGACTTCACCTGGTCATGTATCTCAGGTGAAAGGCCATCCTCTGGGTTCCATTCTACGAGCCTTTCCAACCATGGACCGTCGATGTCATGACCGGAGATGAATGCCTTTGAGATGCTGCTATTGAACGCCTCGCTGTTGCTGTCGTCTAGGCCGAGTAGCTCAAACAGGCGCTGTCCTAAGGGCTCTTCTGCGAATTCTCGATCTATATACATCAAGTGAAACAAGAAGCCGAGAGCCATCTCAGCTCGGGCTTCGGGATACCGAAAGAGGACAGCTTCACCACGGCCGCCTGATTCGAACACCGCGCGAAATACGGCTTCCTGTGCAGTCATTCCATTTGGAAACTGATTATTGCTGGTTATCAGCTGTTCGATGAGTTTGACAAGCTTATGCCCAGTATCGAATAGTGTTGGCTTCGGCAGGTTGCGAAGTACCTCGCCGATACGAATGCCGGACACCAGTAAGTGTCTTTCGCCCGAGATGTTCGCATCTGGGACATCTGACCCGAAAACTCCATTATCAGCGTCTCCTGTGATCGGCTCAAACGACCTGTTCGGTTCACTCCATGCGTGTGGGTAATTCGGAACCCACGTCGGAAGGTCTGCCGTGACAAGTGGTTGAGTCGCGCCCGTAATCATGTGTAGGCCAGCCATTGGAAGTAGTTCAAGCTCTTTGCCTTGTCCTGTTCGTTTCCAGAATGCAAGGTAGTGAGCAAAGTACTCGACATACACCGAAGCGACCGAGACTTCCGGACTGTAGTCGGGAATGAGGGGCAACTTCGTGAGACCAAGCAAGCCGTAGATGCTATCCTTGGGGTCGGTGGCGGCGAGGGTGTGATTCCAGCTCATCAATTGCCGGCCCCAGCTCTCCCACTCGTCTGCACCCAGCGTTTCTGGTCTTTTGTGCAGGTGCTTCGCCTTCATTAGCCGCATGGGATTGTGCCATGGCACCCTGTCGGACGACGTGATGCTGAGCCAGACAGACTCTACCATCCATGGAGGCTTCTGCAAGTAGGTTCGGACCTCTTTCAGTCTCTCAATCCAACTGCATGTGAGGTAAAGCGCTATCCAGTCAACAGAAGACTCCCCAGACAACAGGACCAGGTTCTCTGCGAGAACAATCTCCTGAACGACCCATACGCGAAACCAGTAAGGTAGGTTGAAAAGAGACCGCATGCTCTTCCACGACTGATTGGAATGCCAGTCGTTTTCAGGTCCTATGTCAGCCAAGATGAGCTGTGGCCAAGCTTCCATCCAGCTGATCAGTTCGTGCGGTTCGGGTCCTCCAATGTGGCGTCGTCCTACGACTTTGTCCATTTCATGAGCCACCAAGTTGATCGTTTCAAATGCTGCGCCAATCTCCTCCGTATCCGTTCCGAGCCACGAGAACACAAGCTCGGCACTCGAGTAGGCTCGACGCATCAGTTGCACTTGCTGATTTCGTTCTGCGACATCTTGTTGGTTGATGCAAAGGGCATCCACCCAGATTCTAAAGCCTTGCGGACGTCGGCCAGGAAATGTGTCTATCCAATGATCTTGAAGATGCTGAAGAGCGTGGAAGAGGTTCTTGGTTGCTTGAAATTCCCGGCCGTTCAAAAGGATTGGCTCAGTGATGGAAACATCTCCCCAGACGTACGATAGTGCCGTGTAGGCGGGCTTTTCGTCGAGAGATACCGAACTCAGTCTCAAAGATGGCTGACCAGAGAAGCTGACATACTCGAGAAGCCTGATTTCTGACTTGCCAGCATCGAGGGGTTCATACAGCGGCATTGCTTCCTCAAGCATCTCGCTAGCTTGTTAGGCCCCTTTCAAGTGGCACACGGTAGTCACCTAGTCGAGATTTTGACTGACATATTCCATTGTGGTGTGCCTGATGAGGCCATTCGTGAATAGATGCCTGCTGTCAGATACATCTCGCGGGGATTCGTCCTATTCAGGCAAGGTGGTCGACGAGAGGCAGGGGAGTTGTGCAGGCGCAGATGGCGTTGAGACTTGCTTGGAACAGGGGAGGTCCATTGGCTGCACGAGCCATTTGATGCACCTGCAACAGCCGCCACAAGGCGGCATCGCCCGAGACCTCCCCGCGGACCATGACTGGGGTCCCCTAAGACACCTGGAACTCAATTGTGGACGTTTCTTCCAACTTCACATCGCATCGGGGACACCCCCTCGTTTCCTACACCAGCGCCCATCATGCCGCGTAGCCGTGAGAGGTACGGCAAACCTTCAAGCTCTACAGGTACCATACCCGTTGAATAGCCTGGAAGCAGGTTGTCCCATAAAGTCTGCCTCAGTGGCTAGAGCCTAAGCGCATCTTCAATTGGCGAGAGTTGAATGTGGCTGAGAAGTTCTTCATTCGCCGCCGGCGGCCGCCGCCATCCAACCATGTATCAGCCACACTCTCGATTTCGAAACATGCCAGGGGATGGTTTGGAGGCTCTTGATAAGAGTTGGGAAAGAATTGGGGATCGAATAGCTGCTTACCACCGAGGCGTGGCAGTTGGATCCTCGAGGCCTCGGCTTGAAATTGAATGCTGCAACTTGATCTGCCATTCCTTCAATCTTCAAACAAGCTGCTAGGTAACTGGTCAGCATCCTCGTGTAACATTAGCCAATGTAGCACCGAGAAGAGAGCGATAAACCAGGGTGGTGGCAGAAATGTCCCTCATAACGCGATGTATCCCTCCCTCTCCAGGGCCGAATCAATCGAGCATAGTGAGCGGCTCAGCAACCATCACTTCATTGCTCGCATTCCAGCAAATCAGAATACAGAAACACCACTTGTCCAAACTGTGGCTGGTTGCCTGTCGTTTCTGCCTTCAAGCAACATGTCGGCCAACCAGCCAGAAGCACTAGCCACATCATGCACGATGAAGCTTCCATTGAAGCCCTTGGA